TTTTTATTGCATACAAATTCAACTCTTTACATCTTTGCTTGTTTTGTCTTAACCACCAATCTGTACAGATAAAACAAACTGTGAAATAATGTTAATATTGCCAGCATAATTTAATTCAAAACGTGCAAAATAATAAAAAAAACCCAATTCGCTTTCGAGTAATCGAAAATTCGTTAATTAAATTTAAATTGTTAATTGCAAATTAAGTGCCTGTTATATTCAAGTGTTCGACGATAACGAAAACCAAGAAAAGTGTAATAAAAAACAATTCATTGTACAATGTTTGCCTTCGAATTTCCATAGTTACGGCACGACCTAGACTAGATAGAGCGCAAGCTATTGTTCCCTCAAATTATAAGCTCTCGCCCTCTCGAGACATCTCTATTCTCTTACCTTGAGGTTATTCAACCTTGTCCTATAAATTCATGAAAGGGATTCACGTAATTAAAGCCTGCTCTACGTAATATACTCGTATTAATTATGCTATATGCTTGCTGTAATTGCTATTTCAGAACAGACTTAATTATAATCGTAAGTACTCCAAACGTCAATGGCAGCAAATACAATTTTAACATTCGGGTATCTCATATAGACTTGATACCTAATAATGTGTGTTTTTGTCGTTTTGTTATGTTAATAGCTTTTAATACAAATTGGGTTTTTCTTCTGCAGTACGCGATGGGGACACCGTGAAGCATTACCGCATAAGGCAACTAGACGAGGGTGGGTTCTTCATAGCGCGACGCACCACCTTCCGCACACTGCAGGAGCTGGTCGAACACTACAGCAAGGATGCGGACGGCCTCTGTGTGTCACTCAACAAGCCTTGTGTACAGGTTAGTACCAGCAATAATCATACAATTTTTATATCTATACTTATGTTATAAAGTGGAAAGATTTGTATTTTTGTATGATCGATTTCAAAAATTCTTGCATCTTAAAAAAGCTACGTTATCACTTAGTAACAAAGGCTTGTTTTTTTTACAATTTTTAATTTCACGTGGACGAAGTCAAGAGCAACAGCTAGTTACATTTAAATTATAAAAGCATTCATTAGCTTCGAACAAAAGAATTGTGTATGTTGTTAGTTCGTTATTTTACAAAATACCGAAACGTTTACCAACATGATTCGGAAACTTGTATGAAATTGATCTTATCGTGAAAAAATTACAACAAATTAAGCAGTTAAACTCGATTTTAAATTGGCAATACGCGATTTCACTCGAGTGCCACGGACATTCATATGACCGGACAAACGTGACCTCGCTTTGTATAGCAACAACTGCAAATCTACTCATCCGATTGAAATATGTTTAAATTAACTGAAAATATAGTTTATAACATTTTTAATGTTAAGTTTTAGTTAGTTTAGTTTCAGAATGAATTTGTTTTGCTGAATTAGAAAGAAATCCCACGTAGAGTTTGTTTTCGTTACTATCATGTGCGTCTTAATTAGTTCCACTTACATCTGAGTTCGACAGTTAAATTCTGATGTGATAAAAATCTAATTGCTTGTCCCCATGTAGGCGCCGATCGTTATCTTTATATTGATTGAGTTGAATAATCGTGACTCTAAAAGACATTGAGTTAATCGAACGGCAACAATAGAGTCCTCACTGAACGGCCAAGGTCTTAATGGTTCCATCAAATCGTTATTAATTTCTCTTAAGTGCTGGTGAACTCTAATTATATGAAATCCAACGACTCCTTTATATCAATCTTGGATTTAATTTTTTCAATTGTTCGAGTATTACGCCGTCAAATCAGGGTCATATATAATTCGTGTTATTTATTGTTACGAATGCGAGGTGTTGCAAAATTCGATATCGGTTCGCTCGTAAATCTTTTATGGTTTTCGTCGAACAATACGACTGGATGCGTGAGAATTCGCACCGTAGAGGATTCGAGGAAAAACGGAAAGCTTTATGCAGACTGCATTGACCTAGAGTTATTAGTGTATTCAGTTAGTGTAGAGTAAATTTACCTAAGTTCTCTTCTTTATAAGATGTCACTGTCTTTATTTAACTCATTGTTTTGTTTGCCACACAATAAATAACTTTAATATTTCTCTTTTTCTTTAGTGAGACTTCGATAAATTGTTATAACAATGATAGAGTCAATACGACTTAGGGTCCTTCAAGAAGCGAGCCTACAATTTCATCAAAGGCCGGCAATGCATCTGTAGTTCCTCTGGTGTTACGGATGTCCAGACCACCTCTGTGTTGCCACCGCACGTTTGCCCCCTTCTCTTATAAAAAAAATCTTTAGTCATGTCCGTCATTTCCTTTGACGCAAAATCTTAAATAGTGAACAAATTTGTATAAAAAAATTGTTGCAATTTCAATTACTATTTAAAACATCGTTTTTTCTTATTTGATATGATATTTTACAATATTTCTATTGGTATTATGAAATAACTTTAATTATCTTATTATAATTGTCATTCCAGTAGGTGTAAGAATACGTAGTTGACTTAATTGCAAGTTTATAAAAATCATAAATAATGTATGAATTTAACGTTAAATTGAGTTTATCGGTAACGTTCCGTTTTTAAAATACACCGAGACGACTTATTAACACATGGAAATTCCTATGCGTTAATAATTACAAGAAAAAATTACCATCTAAGGAATTAAATTATATCTTTATGAATTATTTTATAATTACTGCCCGTTATACGTAATCTGATAAATGTATGCTCTGTTTGTTTATGACGGTCAATTTGTAAACACGTTCGGAATGGAGATCCGTGGAGGGAAAACGCGGATAATATTCATAACGTGTAATAAAGCTCTCGTGTATATTATATCAAGAAAGACCATTCCAGTTTCGCGGTCGAGCGCCCGCCGCCAAGGTCGAGATGACCCCGCTTTCGTTGTGCACAGGGCTGACAAAACAACTGTTTTAAAACAAAAAAAAAAGTATTGTTATGTATTCTTAATAACATGTAGGTCAACGTTGTCATTGTATAAAATCAGACAATCTTGGGTAATTCCACGAATGTAAATTTCAGTTGAAAGTGGAATTGCAGTTAACTTCGAAACATTTCTTTTTAAACTTATATATTTTTAATGCGTACATGTACCTCAAATAGTTACTGCTTTAAAATTGCACATCACACGACATGCATACAATCGGTATTCAAAAGTCACCTTCGTCTTGTCTTTAATTTGAATATTTCGAAAGAAGTGGCAACCCTTGTCACCAAGCAAATGACCATACGTCTTTTGTAAATCCATAATTCATCTCACTCTCGCGTCCTTCCACGGAATCGAAACGTAGTAATTTGACTGTGACCCAACTGCCCGAGGACATAAAATAACTAAATTATAGTACTCTTATGTCACACTCTCATATGGAATTATCTTTACGAAAACTGCAACAGTTTCCAAAGTAAAAATAGCCATCAGAATACACTACTGTAAATATATTTCTATCAACGTTGTACTTCACCAGTGGGTATAACAAAAGAGTTTATTTAAATTAACCAACAGTGAATATAAAATGAGGTCAATATAAAGTATGGTTTGTGTGGTAGACAAGTCACATGTGCATCGAAGCCTTCCGTAATATGATACTATGTAGGTTTGTAATCGTATCTGAACTCACAAAGGTTACCCAGTTATATGATTGTCAGATTGTCATTGTTTATCTGTTCTTATCTCACTCTAGGCCTTTATGGTCAGATCACTAGGGTTTCGTTTTTCAAATTGATATTTCATATTCTTAGGGCCTGTCCCACCAATGGCAGATAGAGGCTCAGATAGCTTAAAAACGACGTTACTGTCAGATAAGAGAACAAAATCCGATATTTCCATAATGTATTTTACACGTTGGATTGTTATGAGACAATTTACAATTTGGTGGGACAGGCCCTAATTTTGTTACTTGTGCCTACTTTATCATACTGTTACTTTTCCCCTTTTTTTAATTTACGATCTATATTGACCATACAATATACAGACATGATCGGATTGTTGAAGTCGCAGCCGTTTGTATGTATCATGTTACGTTATCAGAATAAGCCCCTCCAAGAAATGGCGCAGGTATTTCCGACTGTGGATCAATAGACACACTTGTGTAACCCACTACAATTCTAAACGATAACTATCAGTGGACACTGCATTAAAAAGTCCTTTGTGCATTGAACGTAACTAACATACGCTATGTTACTGTTATGTCAATATGGAAATTAAAATATCCTTCTCCAGTCAAGTCGCCGGATTTGAATTTGGCGTCTAGTATAACATTATCGAATTTTTGGAAGTCGTTGTGCCACTTTCACTCTATCTTAAAACTTGACGTAATTATTAGGTTTTTTATAGTCTGAGTGAGTGGGCTTCACAAATAAACAATCTTAAAAAGTATACGACAGTATTTTATTATGTCAGTTAAATTTTGTCTGTTAGCTATGTTTTTCTTTGAATGAAAAGTTTTAACAGTAATATGTAATGTTGTCATAACGTTAGATCACATCTCACAACGCAAACACATTCCTGATCTAATCATTATCCTTGTAGCGCTACCTTTGTCCTTATCACCCACGCTTGATGTCAACTCACATAACCCGTTATACTAATACCACTTACTAATGTACGTAAATACATAAAATATGTAATTACTTTCTTATTAGTGATTTCAGTTTAGTATTATGTCACGCCGAAAACCAATCTATAACTATACTAATATTATAACAGGGAAGATTTGTATTTTTGGATTTTTATATGTATTCGATTCACTGAAAAATGACGCCCGATTTTAAAAATTCTTTCACAGTTAGGAAGGTAATTTATCTGTGAGTAGGTAATATAGACCGTTTTTATTTATATTTTAATTCGACGCAGGCGAAGTTGCGAGCAACAGCTAGTCATTTATAAACGAATCGAAACTCTGCAATAAATTAAAATTTAAAAAAATCGTTCCCACGTATATTCATGATAAAAATGCACAAAAAGCAACGTAAAACTCATTGTATAAACCACAATATTTCATCTCATAAAATTATAATTGGTTTTTACAAAAAGTTTGGGATTTTTCCAATCGTCACAAGTAAATTACTCAATAAATGTATAATACAAACAATGCGATCATTTTGTAAAGCTACTTTAACGATGCCTTGACAAGGCCATTAAATCACAACAAGTACGGTTATCTTTCACTGACTCATATTTTACTATTTTTTTGTCACGTACACGAAATAAAAATGAATATTTAAACGAGTCACTTTACATATAAATATCTTAATGAATGCTATTGTTAACTCCTAAACTACAGCTTTACAATCAATACCATTTCTTTTCTAATGAACGTTTTGTTTTAAATTGTGTTTATTTTTACATTTGTGCTAACATTAAAAACTTGAATGATTGCAAATAAATAAACGCTATGTTTATTACGCATGTGCTCGTTTTAATTGTTTGCACGAGATCTAAAGATATTCTTCATTTGAATTGATTGCTTCGTGTTTATTATTTTATTTGTGTATTTTATTAGTATAAATTGTTGATTTCTTATTCTCATATTTAAAAGCGAGTTTACGAAACTAAATGACAAATAATATGTATTGTATTTTGTATTGTCTTCATAATATTTGATTGAAACTGCTATCCAAATTCACAATGTATATTATATAATTTACCATAAATACTATTATCCATAAGAGCAGGAGAAGCTTTCATGGTAACCAAACTTTAATGATTATATCAATTTTATTATAACTTGAAAAGCCAATTTCCCGTAACATATACCTGCGCCAGTACCAATTAAAAATTCGTTATGCGTCGAGATGTGACGGAGGTTCAAATTAACCAACGTGGAATGAATGACCTCTAGAGGTTGTTCAAAAATAACGAATCAAAACCAGTGTTGATGCGTTCCCGCATATGTCAGACAACTGCACAACTCGAGACTACGAAATAATAATAATCTGACGCCTTTGCAGATATTTTAAACGTATCTAACATACGTTACAAGCGTAAACTAAACATTTTTAAATGATTTGTTTAATCAACAACAAATTTACCCTAGCTAAAAAAGTATATAATTTAGCATTACTAGAGGGCTATTCAGCTCCGAAGGGTCAAAGTTCATTTTCCAATTGCTATCTTGCTTACCGAAACTTTGCTAGAATGAAACAACGAGTCAAATATTATTAATTTCGCCCACTTGTTTATACTTTCTTAATAGTGTAGTCTGAAAGTTCGCTTACTTGCACCGTTGATATAAACTGTGTACGTTACGGTTGATATATTGGCACACGATACTGTATCAAAATATTATGAACTTCACAAGAATGGGCGCAACATTGTTACTGTAACCTTTAGATGTTAAGATTTAGTCGTTTTATGGCTTTGAAATAGTAACGTGTAGGAATTTGAACATATTAAATCGTTTTTATTACGTATTATGTCATTTTTGAATTTTAGATTTTTTACAATACAAATAATCTTAGCTCATTTAAATTGAAACATCTTTACATTCATTTATTCACACGTAAGGAAAACAAAAGATCGCCTGAAACATTTTAAGGAAATGAAGTAAAATAATCAACATTACTAAATGTCCAGTATAACAATGGACAACAGTTCAATAGCCTTTACAAAAATATAAACCCGTTCATGCCACAGACTAGTTTCTTATCATTTATTCCGTCATGTAAAAAAAATGCATTCAAATTAACTCACTAATTACTTGTACGAATGATTGAAACGCGTCCTCGATGAAATAGAATTTATTTACGGTCGGTTTGAGCTCAGTAACCCCAGTTTGACATATTGTATAACAAATTGTTGGTTTGTGCAAGACTCCGGTGGACGATTACATCAACCGCTCGATTTACGATACGCTTTAACATGTTGGCGCTGTGCGATCGCGACGCCAATACTGTTTTATTACGAATTTGCATATAATTTGTGCGTTGCATAACATTCCGACACTAATTTGCATGTCGCCAGTATCTGTGACAATGTAGGCAATTCTCCGCCCTGGCTAGTCGGTGCGGCGCAGCCTACGTGGAGTGTTAACATTTAAACACATCATTTATAGTTTTTTTTTTTTTAATTAACGTATCAACCACAGACAGAAAAGTATCAGTTAAAGGGATTTAAAGATCACAAAACATCAATCTTATTTTCTAATTAAAAAATATGTCCATAAACTTTCATTGTCTAGGGAATGTTGTAACGCACTATAAAAAGCATTACGACCTAGATCTAACCAGAGCATGGTATCATTTGATATCAAGATAACGCTTTAGATCTCGTTAGTAAAATTGTCGATTACAAGTATATTATATTAAAAATCGATAACACAATTAATCGAACGTGGAATCGATAACGAGCATTCGTTAATCGGTGATCGCGACGCGTGACGGGCGTAGGCGCAGGCGCAGGTCGCGGTCGATGGCCAACCATTCCGACGGCGTCTTGTTACGCGTATAGAATAAAAAAATAAAACAATCACGTACAAAAACACTGACGTATGATAATGCTCGAGTTCGGCTAAGTGACGTCTTCCGGTAGGCAACAGGGGCAATGTAATGTAGTGCATGTGCATTAATTAAGACATAAATGCATCTTAAATGAAAAGAGTGTATGCTGTGTATATTTTTAATATATAGAATTTAAAATAAATAACATTTTTAAAAACCAAAAATTATACATGTTTATGATATTTTGGTCAGGAACTGAAGTTAGCGTTTCAACAAGAAATATTTTTTTTCTATTGTAAGATAAGTTTACTACATTGTCTATTTTTTTAAACAATTTTGAGAATGCATTTACTTTCAGTGACATGATTAATAGTAAAAACTTAATGATCGCGCAAAGAACAAAATCTTCAACAAAAACATTTCTCTACAACATTTACTTAATGTAAAATACGTAACAATGTAATAAGTTTGATAAAAGTCATCTCGCAAGCGGATGCTTTTTTAATTTACCGTCGTTTTCTAAGTGTTATCTACCGATTGATTCGTTCGCAAATCAAACAGAGAACAGACACGTCTCCGTCGTGTCTCCTTCGTACCTCTTACGCTAATAAATCAGACACGCCATTCCCGGAGTTCACTTTAACACATAATGATCAATTTAATGAGACAATGAGTCGCATAAATCATTACATAACTCTTCTCAAATTACTTTTCTATTGTAAGTAAGAGTAAAACGTGCCGTATTCAGAGGTAAATTACAATTAGTTTTTACAATCCATTGTTGTGGAAGCTCTTATTTTCCTTGCAAATTGCAACCGTTGCTAGATACTTGTTCTGAATAATTAGTAATTGTTATAGACTCATACTATCTCCGTCCTCGGATCTGTTTTGTGTTGCAAAGTAATTTAACTTGGACGAATGATGTCATTTTTACTGGTATACTAACGACACATTTACTGTAGTTCTTACACTCTTTGCCAAATTAACTTTCATTTTTTTGTATTTATAGATTCATATTTATATTACATTTTCTTAAGAATAAAAAATATTAACAAATGCGATCGTTACAAACCATTGTGATTCACCCAATTGTTTTCATTTAATTCTAGGTGGAGAAGCCTGTTACCGAAGGTCTTTCGCATAGAACACGCGACCAGTGGGAAATCGACCGATCCTCCCTCAAATTCGCCAGAAAACTCGGCCATGGCCAATTCGGCGAAGTGTGGGAGGGATTGTGGAACAATACAACGCCTGTGGCTATCAAGACATTGAAACCTGGTACAATGGACCCCAAGGATTTCCTCGCGGAAGCCCAGATAATGAAAAAACTACGACACAATAAATTGATCCAGCTGTACGCTGTGTGCACTCTAGAAGAGCCAATTTATATTATCACTGAACTCATGAAGAATGGTTCCTTGTTGGAGTACCTGCAAGGTGAGTGGTATTTAAATATGAAATCTTTTATACAAGTGTCGATGACCTTGAGTACACTTTGTTTTTATGTAGATCTTTAACGTGTTATTGTTTTCTTTTCTTTGTATGTTTATCGTTAAAGATAAACTAGGTAAAAATCTAGAGTTTTTGGTTATTTTTTTATATTAATCTTGTGATTTATTTTCTTCCTTATTTGGTTGTTTATCAATTTATATTGGTGCTTTGCACGCATGTCTCTTTTAAATCGCTGTATTTAAGTTTAAATGTGAAGTATAACAATACAAATAAAATTACACAAGTTACATATAACTTCTATTTACATTTGTAACCCTTATATAATACATGGCAGTAAACTTGGACATAAAACTAACCTGTACTTTACACGTAATGGAAAAATAAAGCTTACACAAACAGTTTCAAGAAATATTTTAGTAGCCTTCTTATTTTTATGGTGGTGTTATTGAATTGTGACACATTCTCGTGCATTTCATAACAGTGCAGTTAAACAAACATGCGACAAAGAGGAACTGCATTTCCGTGACATAAAAATGTTGTAAAGTGATTCATTTTATGTTAAGTCATTTTGTTGCTAATGTACCAATCGCATCTCCATACTATCGTACGTCAATAAGTTACCATTGTGTATTATATTTCCAATTGTATTATCCAGGCAAAGGCCGTGGTCTGAAGCTGCAGCAGCTGATAGACATGGCGGCGCAGATTGCTGCCGGCATGGCTTACCTCGAGTCTCAAAACTACATCCACCGTGACCTCGCAGCGAGGAATGTGCTCGTCGCCGATGCTAACATCGTTAAGATTGCTGACTTTGGACTCGCGAGACTCATCAAGGTAAGCGATCGAGTGAAATAGTTGCGGACGTTTATTTCCTACCCTATTTAACGCTCTCAATGTATTCAGATGGAAAATTTGACGTAGCAAATATTTGTGCTAAATAATATCTGTTATAAAGACAGTTTGCTGTCCGATATCGGATTTTAAGTAAAAAGCTAATTTATTTCTGTGTATAGTCAAATAGAGAAATGATTATACAAATGTGTTGAATCTCTGTTTCCATTACCAAAAAAAACTTGTATAGAAACATGTTTTGTTATTTCTATTTTTTAAGAAATAAGGAAAGGATGCATATAATTATAATTGTGACTATTACATTTTTTTTTACCAATTAACTCCTTTTCTGTGCAAAACCAGATTATGAATAACTAGCAATTAACTTTATTAAATCTCGGTAAATGAATCCTTTCTTAATTTTTAAATGTTGACCAAGTTTTTATTCAATACCTATTAGGTCAGGGACTACTTTGATAAATGTTTATTTCTTTGTACCATTATTTATTACTTACTACAGGATATGTGTTTTATTAATTTATCGAATAACGGTATATGTAGCGAATGTGACATAATGACCCCTGCCTACTTTTTCTAGTAATATGAAAAATTAACAAAGATATAACCGTAATTTTACTTGATACTGAAAATGTCAACTTTTGTGGTAACCAATTTGTGAAGTTAAACTATCGACCAAGTGTTTTTTGTTTTAAGAAAATGAGCGATAACAGTATGTTTGTATGTTTTTTATCCGTACAAAAAGTTGCTAATGTTCCAACTGAACGTACTGGAAATGAAATACTCATTAATCGTAACCGCTTTTCAATTCGATATTTATTATGTTTTTTATCATTAAGAAAGTGAATTGAAATCACTGCAAATAGACTCGACTTTCTCGACCCCTTGCAGCTTTTCTACACCTGAGTTTGTTACGAATTGATGGGTTACTTTTTTGTCGCAAGTTCTAAATATCATTACAATATTGTTCACGATTTAAATTACAAGGTTAAACGAAAAGGTCGTGTGTTGAATGCTTTTATTAAATCTTTCATACCACACTTACGTCTTTATCTTTTTTTTATCGCGGATAAACAATTTTCGAATTTTAATTTATAACATTTTTGTTAATTGGATCATTAGCAAATAGTAAATTTAAATGACCACATTCCTTTAGCAAAAATCACTTCATAATTCAATTTAGAAAACCAAAACATGTTTTATTACGAACACTTGAAAGCGACATGGCTTAACGTATTTATATAGAAGAAGCGGCAATGCTCGGCCATTTGGTTTTCGGTTCTTTTTGTTGCAAAGGTGTCATTCTAAAAAGTTTCTATGCTATATTAAGTACTAACTTTCGTCCGCAACTTTGTTCGCGTGGAATTAAAAAAAAAGAAAGTAGACTACATGTTCTTTCAGACGTTGTATCTATGCCAAATTTCATCCAGATCCGTTTAGCCTATAAACTCTTAACATCCATCGATTTAAACTTTCGCATTTCTAATATTAGCATGATTAAGTACAATTAATTATTACCATACAAGGTTTCGCCGGTGACTGTTCGCATGATATTAAAAAAAAAAAAAACTTTGTAGTCTATGTGCTTTTCCAGACTATGCTCTACATTTATGTCAAATTTTATCCAGATCCGTTTAGGCTACAAACTCTAACATCTATCCATCCATCCATCCATCTAAACTTTCGCATTTATAATATTAGTAAGATTTAACAAGGTAATGTTTTATAGGAGGATGAGTACGAGGCTCGCGTCGGGGCGCGCTTCCCCATCAAGTGGACGGCGCCCGAGGCGGCCAACTACAGCAAGTTCAGCATCAAGTCGGATGTGTGGTCCTTCGGCATCCTGCTCACTGAACTCGTCACGTATGGACGCATACCTTATCCAGGTAAATATTATGACTAAATGTTCCTCGCGACTTCGCCCGCGTTAAAATAAAAGATAAATAACATAGTTTTTGTTACTCATTGGTAACGTAGGTTTTTAATGGTGAAAGATTTTTTGATATTGGCACAGTAGTTTTTGAGTTATTTCAATTTACAAAAATATAAATCTCTCTTTGTAATGTTAGTATGTTTTGTTTATAATCCCGGCTTTTCATTGTGGATGAGTTTGTGACTCATTTTTGTAAAAAAACAGGATTTTCCTCGCTATCGTTCCAAGGGCCACTTCGATAATCATTCTATATTCATTTGTAATTAAAAATTATAATAACAATAATGTCAGTACCCTATTTATTTATATAATACTAGCTTTGGCCCGCGACTGCGTCCGCGTGGAATTAAGAACAAAAAAAGAATAGTTTATGTGTTCTTCCAGGCTATCGTCTACATCCAGACCAATTTTCATAGAAATCCGTCAAGCCGTTTGGGCTACAAACTCTAACAAACATCCATCCATCCATATATCTAAACTTTCTCATTTATAATTTTAGTATGACATGATTAGTATGATGATTTATAACAAATCAAGTAATATGTATTATATGTAATAATAAGAAATAAAGATATATGGAGATAATATGTCAGTACCTAAATCTACTATGAAATTCAGTTTATAAAACAAACATCAATGATATGAATTTAATATTTATAGTTAAAAATAGACGCAAATAGATTATGTAGTCGCGGGAAATCCGTATCAATACATGGTATGAATTATGTATAAATATATCGAAGGCTTATACAACTTTGGTTGGAGTGCAACGCACGATGTACTGCAACCTTATATAAGTAGACGATATCCCTTGACCACACTACCAAATGTCTATATCTGTATCCCTTTTGCGATAAAAACTATAACTTTTTTTTAATTCAATCTAGATACCTAATGTACATATTAATAAAATACCTCTAATCTATACTATTATAATAAAGCGTAAACACACACTTCTTTGTTGCCTAAGATGTCAGGAATTACAGCATATTTTTGAATAATTCTTTTTTTTTTTAATAAAAAGCTCTACACTTGTGTCACGCTTTAGGCTATATATTTTAACACCATTAAACTTAGGGTGTAAATATTTTGGATAAAAACCCTAATGTGGGAAAGAGACCGGTAGTTGCTGCCAACATCAAGGAAGCAAGGTTGTCATCATGTCATGTCATTTTGACATTTGTAATTGATAATTTGACAAATGTAAACAATAAAGTAAAACTTTCATAATTTCATGCGGATGAAGCCGCACGGGAAAAGCTAGTCTTAATTTAAACTACTGACTTTATTTCATAACTAGCTGTTGCCCCTTCGTCCACGCAATAATTAAATAAAAAAGTAGCCTATAATATGCCCGTCTATGTCATCCCTTTAGTGAAAGTCAGGTCGAAATCGGCCCAGCCGTTTCGAGATTGCCCGGAACAAACGCGGACAGACAGACAATTTTTTTTAAATGCGATTTTCGTTATCAGCAACGCATACACAACTTCCCGATATCGAGAATTTTTCTTTTGTTATTACAGACACTCCAATTTTATTATATGTATAGATAGATATGGATACGTCAATTTAGATGAATCATATTGCGGTGAGAGACATTTGAACCTTTAAACAAGTCTTGTAAGGAAAACCGCAAAATTGTTTTTTTATCATTTTCCTCTTCATTTAATTGATACTAGTTCCTGAAATTGTGTAGTATGTAAACTCGAATGAGGAAATTATTTATTTTGTAACTAAGGAAAACTACGCAAGATTACTGTCATTGATAAAGATTTTGTAATCTGTTTAATCTTATATATATTAAGCAACCTTTAAACATCATCAAAATACTTTTAGTACATACACAAATTACAAATGCTACAACTATACATTAAGACCGACGCACACTTTTGACTAAACTATCGCAAAACTGTTTAGTTTCGCTTTGATTCCTATAGGCTTATAAGGAAGTGTGCACACTACTCGATTTTTAGTTGTACAACCAATCAGTTGAATTGGCTGCGATAATCGACAATCGCACAACAATTGTATGCGTGCTTCTTTTATACAATAAGGTGGCAAACGTACAAGCGGCCGCCTGAATCCACCGAAATGGAACGCGATACGTTGCCTATCCTAATTGACAGAAGAGACGCACATAAAGATCACATTTCCCTTTCCTATGCGCCTTCTTCGCCGTCAAATCTACTTTTCCTTTCCATCCTTTTGATAAATGATGCTCTAGGCAAATGTCAATGTGACAATAGCGTGATGTAGTCTGTATGGTGATGTGTGTGTCGCTTGCAGGTATGACGAACGCGGAGGTGCTGCACCAAGTGGAGCACGGGTACCGCATGCCGTGTCCTCAGAACTGCCCCGCGGCGCTCTACGAGATCATGCTGGAATGCTGGCACAAGGACCCCCTCAAGCGGCCCACATTCGAAACGCTGCAGTGGAAGCTGGAGGACTTCTTCACCATGGACAACTCCGAGTACAAGGAGGCCTCCGCCTACTGAGCCCGGCCCTCCCTGCCGGCGCACCGACACGCGCACATGCACCACGTGAGTACAGCCGCCCTGCTA